TCTGAATTTCATGGTCATTGAAAAACTGTGACATTATCTTCTATAAGCCCAAACTTGAGTAAACATTGAAGATTTTTAGCGTTTTGGCTGAGTTTGTGCTTTGGGAGTTGTCTATTGTTTCTAGTCTGTCGTGATACAGCATTCTTGTTCAGCACGCGTGTAATGACCGCGCTTGGCTGAATTGGCTTAATTTTATGTTATATTGTAGATTGATCTATATGTTATCCATTCTATTTGTTAGACTTACGATAAAAGTAAAGGTGGGGATACCAGAGAGCTTCAAGTAGGATGGTACCCCCCCAAAAAAAAACTGGGTCGAGTCACCTTAAGAAGTGGTAAATGCCTGGAACCTCCCTTTTTTGCCCATTACACGGCGTTGTGGATACTAGAAGAAAGCAGGTTTCTACGGGAAAAAATACAAAAAAATTGAATTTTGTTTTACTACTTAGGTAATATTTCCTTTACGCACTTTCGTATTTTGTTTTTCCAGTACTTTTGTCTTTTATTTTTTGCGTCTGGAAGCGGTGGTTAGCGTTGGTTAGCTCGAAAGCTAAGCTCCTCTGACCACCGTTCACTTCTACGCAAGCCATTAATTTTCTTTTTTTCCCTTTTTCTTCTCCTTTATTAGTGTATTCCTACCTTACTATATATAATGTAAATATTTTAGAATAGTGTGAATAATAAAAAGTGAAAATTGAAAAAAACAACAACAAAAAAAAACAAAAAAAAAACAATAAAATGTATGTCGTCTAAATATTAGATAATAAATAAAATGAAATGTAAATGTATTGTTGGTATAGGTACATCAAGTAACTTGCGCGCATTTATACCAAAAACACTCCTCACGCCTATATACGTAATCTGTGTACAGCAACCATCCTTTTTGTGGCTTCCAGCTCATTACTTATGGAGACATTCACCCTTCTCTCAGTCAGCCGAACTCGCAATATTTTTCTGTAACATTTGCCCTACAACGCTGTGTGCACTTCGTGTCACACAGTTTGATTATCTAGAACCCGCGGCAATAGCTGGCTCTCGGGAATTTTGAACTATAAGCCTTCATCCTTAAATAACCACAGGTTGAAAAAAGGCGTTTCCGTTTCCGTTTTTGTAACGGTTACCTCACGGAAACCTGAATATCCGCAGACGGAATTGTAACTAACCGTTGCGGGAAACACGTGTATCCGTCATGTTTCAGTTTCTGCGGAGGCGCTTAAACGCATCCCTTATACTCGCGTTTCCGTCAGGTTTACTCTTGCGGAAACGCTAACTGCCGTCATGTTTCCGCAGCTCGTAAATTCAGAGGATACTCAATTATCCGTTAAGTTCCCGGAAGAATGAATGCGGAAACTCAGTTTGATCGGTTTACTTTCTGCAGCCTTCATGTTCACCCAGATTCCACTTTCGGTGGATTATTCACTAGATTTCCTAAATGTGTTAACTTTACTTAACCATCCAGTTTCGAATCCTATGTTCATTCTATCCGGTATATAAAAAGTGGACGTTTGTGAGACAACCCTGGACCGTTTCATGCATCCAAAATGACCCATTTTCGCTGATACACACAAATCAAGCAGAGTCATATTTAGGTGCATTTTTGGGATTAAAGATTTTATTAAAATAATTCTCTCTCCATTTTCATATAATATGTACATATGTATATTAAATATTTTCACAATAAAAAAGA